TTCTTTGGATGAAAACTTGGTACAAAATAGATTATCAACATTAAAACGATTACTTTACAATGCAGTGTTTTTGGGTATTGAACAAAAGGATCTAACAGTTGAACATTTAACAGTAAGTATATCAAAAAACAAAATTTTTTTTTAAAGTTTATTCATTTACTATTAATTTTATAAAGAATCGTGATACAGGAAAGGGCATAGACGATCCAATAATATGTATTTCGGAAATATTTGATGATTCAAGAGAAAAAGAAGCAAAATTAACGCTTGATTCCGAACTTATTCTGTTTGAAGAAAATACAAATTTTATTCACCTTTCAACTGATTTAAGAACATATTTTGAGGATAAAATTCAGCTACGCAAACATAGTTCTAATGATACTGAATGGTTCAATTCCTTGGAAAAGTTTTTCAAATATATTATTGATCGCAGAATAGTACGTGTACAAGAATGGTTCAAACAAAATACTATTAGATTTCCACAAGATAATAGTGATATAGTAATCGCAAATTATACCTTGGAGCAAGAAATTAACAAACTTACAAATTTTTGGACGCTATGTGGATTAACTTGTCAGTCTTGCGGCTTACGTTGTTTGAAAAATAGAGATCATGATAAGGATAATGACAAGGAACATTACTGTTTAACTGATCACCAATGTCATCACACTTGTCAATTTATTGAATCTCATGTAAATAATTATGTGCCAATTTGCAGCCATAAGGCAGGACACGAAGGAAAACATGCATGCAACAAATCTAACCATTTATGTGGAAAACGTTGTCATCTTAGTGAAAAACGAAATTGCCAAAAGATTTGTGCAAAAGAAATTGGACATGAAGACGATAATCATTTTTGTCAATCTAGTCGACATAATTGTGGTGAACCTTGCAGTCTTAATAATACTCATACAATTAAAGGAAGTTATCAATGCTCAAACAAATGTATTATACCACATGAAGTAGAACACACTATGCATAAATGCGAAAATGAGACATGTCCAATTCAATGTCCTATCAAAGATTGTCAGCGAAGATGCCAAAGCAATGATCATTTTCATGCTTTATCATGTGTCAACCATTTTTGCGGGTATGTTAGGCAATAATCTTTGTCTTTGTCTTTAACAGATAAGTGAATAATATCTGTTTTATTTTCAGAAATGAGCATAAATGTCTTAAATATTGCGAGCAACCTGGTATCTGTAAAGTACATATAGAACCTCAAAAGCAAGAGGAAATATACCAAGGATTAGTTCAAGACACCTCAATTGCATTCACAAAGGTGAGCAAATATTATTAAATTAAATAAACTTTATATTAAATTTTTAATAAATTTTTTATTTTACATTAATTAGTATATACAATTAAGTGAAAAATTAAAGTGTAGTAAAAAGATTCCTCCCAATGAATTTGAACATGATGGCCCGCATATTCATGATAAATTTCATTATTGTGATGCTAAATGTCCATTTTGTGAATATTATGTAAGTAAAGTTATTTGATCATATATTGCTGTAATTTAATTTGATTATAACAGTTAAAAATATATGTATATTAGTGTACACTACCTTATGGGCACACACAACAACACGAAACTAAACATGGAAACATGATTCAAACAGAATTTACTTCTGAACATGATGAATTTGAATATGGAGGGTAAGTCATTTTTATTTAAATTAATGATTGTTATGGTCCTATAATTAATTGATTATTATTCGTAGATATAAATTAAGAATAGGAGATAAAGGAACTTTTTTATTATGCAATCTGGTAAATTATTATAGAATATTTATATTTATTATATACTGTATATCTCTATTTAAAGAACAATTATGTATATAGGTTTGCAAAGAATTAGGACGTCATCGGCATATAGATTATTGCCAAAATGAAGAAAATTGCAAATTAGGAAATCAAGGACAAGATATAGAACACACTAATGGTATTTGCTTGATATATTATTTATGTTCTATCATTCGCTTTGTTAATCATTATTTACAAACATTATTTTTATTTGAATCGTGATTTAAAGATGACATCAGTCCTAATCCGGAAAAGAAAAAAGATTTTTTATCGCATCGTTTATTTTGGGAGCGTACCGGATTTAAAGGCAAGCAAATAATAAAATTTTGTTTTAATTTATGCAAACATCGTGATAAATTTATTTTTTTTTTAAAAAAAAAAATAGATCCTTATTCTTCTCAAGAATTACAAGAATTTGCTAAATGCGATCATGAATGTCAAAACAAAGTTCATGACAGACCACAAGGAGCTAGTAATGTAACATTAATTGCAAAATCTTATTGTGATTTACCACTTTTCCATCCTCCATTAAAGGTAAACTCACTTCTTCCAAATGGTATTGGTTATATATCACCTGATGGTCATCGTTTCACTTGTGAGGATCCAAGCGAAGCTGCTTTCCATATAATATTTGCATTGGATCGTTCAAGTTCAATGAAAAATAAAGATAGGAAACCAATTGAAAATACACCAGTCTGTGATTTTTTAAAGGAAACCCATAATAATAGACTTGGGGCTGTATATAATGCGGTAATTAATTCATTCATCCAAATTCAATGATATATTCCTTTATTAACTCCTAATTTATTTTTCAGGTCTATTCTTTTCTACATACCCGCTTACAAACTATACCTAGATCAGCACGTATTCAAGATACGGTTTCAATTATACTTTTTAATCAACAAGCATCAGTTCCTTATGTACATCAAAGTCTAACTGATGCAAATATAATATTAAAAATTCTGGTTCAACATCTTCCAAGTGGAGGAACTGACTTTGGTTCAGCGATAGAACAAGCTGGAAGCCTAATTGACACATATTTTGATCCTAAAAAGTAAGCAATTTATAATATTTTTGACGTTTTTTGAAATTTTTTGACCAATTTTTACTTTTATTTTATAGAGCAAATATTATTATTTTCTTATCAGATGGAAAGTGCGATATTCCTGAATCAAAACTTAAAAACATTTGTAAACATTATCAAAGCAAGAAGTAAGTGTTATTAACGATAATATACAAATCCGAATATATTAAATACATGAAATATATTAATGTTAAATTTCCCCTATTTATTTAGATCTCCAATATACCTTTATACAGTGCTCTTTAGCAGTGAAACACACAGTTCGTCATTAGAACAAATGGCTAAGGTTGCGGAATCCTATCATCCTCCTAAGTCTTCATCCGCTGCTCTACGTTGTCAATTTAATCGTGCTATTGATGAAGTTAAATTGGTTGATCATTTTAATAATGTTGCAGCAAGTTTGAGAAAACACAAACCGGCTTTATTAAAGAGCTCTGATTATGATAAATTTTGATCTTAATCATAATGTGATGCTCAAAATGAATTAAGAAAACGATCTCGGTGCTATCTAAGACATTCGTTCATGTTCAACTAAAAGAAATAACGTCAATCTAAAAATTCCCTTACAAAATCCCCTTACGAACGCGATGTACTTAACAAACTCTAATAAAGTAAATAAATTTAGTGAATGTCTTAAAAAGTTATTTAATTGCAGCCTAAGTTTTTGCATAAATAATATGATAATAATCTACTATTTTCATGAGATAGAATATTTTAGATTCTGGTTGAATATTATCTTTTTTTTAACTCTTTTCCTTTCTAGGATTAACTATTGATTTATTAGTACTTTGATATTCTTGGGTTGATCTATCCTATAATACAACGAATCTAAGTTTGATTTATTAACTATTGCAGACATTATAAAAATTTTGAAATTATTGACGGTGAAATGGAAATGAAACATAAATTTAAGAAAAAATGATGATTTTATTATAAAAAGCGAAAAAAAACAAAAGCAATAGAATTATCAAATAAAATTGCAAAAAACTACATTATATAAACATCGCATTTGTTGACTCATTTTAATTTTCAGGAATACAAGCTCATATTTTCGTATCATACTACGTAACGAAGCACAAATCCATGAAAATAAGTTACGCATTTTTAAACTATATCTATGTACCTACCTGTATTATTAGTTTTATATTAAAACACATTGATATTATTATTTGATTTCTATTAATTCGTTATTCATTTAGAGGAATACACGTAAATGAATCAATTTTCCAAGTAACATTTGCAAATTTATTGATATAACACATACATTCCTTTAAATAAAAATTATAAAAGGGCGCGTAGTGCTCAAAAATCAAGAACTTAAACTGAAAAGCCAAATACACGACACAACATGACTAAAAATATAAAGTATTTGTTACAGGGGAAATTGCAACCTAAAAAAATGGAGCTCCACCTACCAACTAAAATTCCCAATCTATTTAAACCCACAGTTCCAATGATGCATGAAGAGTCTTCGGATTTCTATCTAATTTTTTTTGATTTTTTTTGATTTTTATTTCTTTATTCTCTCAACTTGACGATTTGATTCCCATCCGGATTTTCGTAACCAGTTTTCTTTCTGGTCGAAGCTCTTTGATTGAAAAGGAATGTAAACGGGAACCGGTAAATCTTTTAAAAAATTTTCTGGTTTCTATTTATATAAATCGGATGAGGAAGAGGTGACACAAAAACACAATGTGCTTGCGAAAGACTGTGTTGAGAAATAAAAGGTGTTCGTAGCAGTAAAGTATAAAATATGTAAAGAAATGCCGTTACTAAAAATTACTAAATTTAGCAACGATGCCTGACTTATGTGTATGATCTCTTGTAATATAATATGGGAGTGTTTCTAGGAAAATCAGGTTCCGAGAAATTTTTGACTAAAATTAAGAGCTTAATACATTTTAATCTAATAACATCAAAAACTAAAATGCAATAAAAATCTCAATTTTGCTAAAAAATTCCCGGAACCTGATTTTCCTAGCAATCAACCCATATACCCATAAGCCTTTCTGGTATTGCAGAGAAATGGGCAGGAATATTCACCGATAATCCTATTTTTTTATCATTAATACTTCAGTTTTGGAAAGATAGCTAGAACCGTTTTGGCAAGCTTGTAAATACTGCCTTCAGTGATATAACGTATTTACTATTTAATTAGTATGAAATCAGTTCACTTGGATCAATTATTATTTGTATTCCAGGCACAAATTTGTGAGGAAGACCATACCATAATAAGAATCATAAATTTAATATTATTTATTGACTTTTTTGACTTCGAATTAAGAAAGCGCCAAATCATATACCAGTTAAATAACTGAAGAATTTTTGCTATTATATCTGATAAATCAGGAATTTTTTTTTTTACTAAGCGGCAAATCTTATGTTTCAAGAATGCGATCTTTTACAAAGATGAGGTGTAAAAAGAACGCGAACGTATATTATCAATAATCATGTGATAGTTTCAGAATCGTAAAGTTATTTATGTTGACAGACAAGAATAACTTTTCATATATACCTTCTAACCAAATTTAACATTTACTTCCATCAGAACTGCATATGACTCTTTTTAGTTGAAAATTTGGACTTAACGTTGTTTTAGAAACAACAAAGGCTAAAACTTCGACAAAAATGGGTTTAAATAAAGTAAAATTATGCAAACTTGATTGTTTGTAAATAGGACAATAGGACCGGTTATAAAAACCATTATTATCATACCGCTCCATAATATTAGGACAAGGATTCCAAAATGCATCCTTGACATGAAATCGTAGAAGAAATTTCTGGGAATTTCAATTATGCAATTGAGGTATGGAAGCGGAGATCAGTTTTGCTAAAAATTTATCGGATTTTATTTGCATCCAAGAATAGTTAATTATTTGCCATATTTGTTTGTAAATTAAATTTTTCTATTCTTTATCATAGTGTTAAGTTGGATAGATTTTAAGATTGTTTGGTATTTCTACCCTCAGGTAGTATTAAATACTGCGTTATTACAAATTTGACCATTGTCGTCCTACAACTTTGTTGCAGAAGAATTATTTAAATAGTATTGAAGGATTATCACTTGGAAAGTTCCTTTTAATGTCTACTAAGAAATTATGTACCAATGTTGTAAGGTGTGTAATGTTATCTACTCATATATTAATCCGATTCCTTGCTCTTGGTCCACTTACGCGGCAGTTCTTCTTAAATGAACAGGCATGTACCTTGATATCGGTTATTCCATTAGCAAAACGACGAAATTTTTAGTCAGGAAATCGAGTCTTGACTCCCTCCTTAAGATAAAGAAATAACTACCAAAAAGTTTTTCGATAAGTACGTACAATTATACGATTGTAATCATAGGGGCTGGGATACTTCAAAAGTCACATTTGGGATGGATGGTCACTGACCAATCGTCGTCAGATTACTTACAATTCATCTTAACCCTTTTTCAGATAGATCGAGATTTACAAATTTACGATTTACCGAGTCACGGAGGCAGAAATTATATCTGTATAATTCTTTACAAACCGACTCTGATGCATAATTGTCCAAAAAAAAACAAGCAAATCAGACCAAAATACTCTTAGCATTTATGGAAAATAAAATGATCATTTAATTTACAGGTTAATTCTCAAGTATAGCAGGTTGAAAATATAATTAATTATGTTGTATTACATATATAGAATTCAACAGGGCAGTAGTAGTTTGGTGATAAAATTTAATATTGAATATATTTTTCAGGAAAATCTTTATTATTTAAAATCTGGATTTTTTACATGCCAAAGTATATTGTATTTCGCATACTTTTTTATTCATTCGTTTCAATAACATTTGAAAAAAAATATTACTTTTCATCGATTATACCTATTCCTGACTTCAATATTTGCAGAATCTTAAACTTCAAAACTTGATGTTGCTCTAGACATCAAAATCTTTATATACTTGAGAATTTAAGAGAAAGTTTTAGGACATCGTATATAATATTGAACAAAATGATTGACGTGTAAAAACTTTGTCGTTGTGGCGCAATATGACTTTGTAACTATGAATTGAATTTACTATATATATAAACTTGGAAATATTATTCTTAATCATTGACTGTCATTGAAAAATCTTTTTACAATAAAATATTCGAAAATGAATTTATCTTAAAAAAATTAATTCATGCTTTTTTACACACGCGACGTATATATTATATTATCTCTCTTTTTTTTTTATTTTTAAGGTTGCCGGGAAAAACCCGGAGATTTCGACGGGCATCGAAATCGAAACCCGTCCACAAATGTTTTTATTAAGACAAAATTGCGAAAGTTTCGACTGCATGCCAAAAATTTCGACGGATGCAAAACCCATCGAAACCTTTTGATATTAAAATACAATTTTTGAATTTTAAAATTTGTTATTTTTGTTTTATCATATATTTATATTATTATAAAAGATAAAAAATAAAAAACCGTTAATCAAAAATTTGCTTTTAAAAATTAAGTTGTTTTCTTTCACAGAAATAATTTGAAATGAGCCAAAAACAACATCTCATGTAGCACAATGACTGAATGATCCATCTATTATGACTAACATTGATGTTTGATAGCATTAATATGAAATTCTTTTATGATAATAAAAAAAAAGAATTTGTTAGTTTAAAATAGAGGTTGGAACCAAATTCGATATTCGGATTTAAATCCGGATATAAAAAATAAACCTGGTTCCAACCTCTATCATCATCATCTTCATAGGGTAATTCTTAATACTTCAACAAGTTCCTGTGCTTACAAATTTAAAACCTCGTTTTATATTCTACATTGCGATACAATAAACCAGTTAAAACCCGTCGAATTTCGTAAAGTTGTTATCGAAACTGTCGAATCTTTCGAGACCCATCGA